CTGGCCCCATATACTGGGGGTGGTGGGTTCAAGCCTGGCCCTGGCCAAAACTGTAAAAAAAAAAAAAAAATTATTATTTCCTAAATGATACAGTATAACAACTATTTACATAGCATTTGCATTGTATTAGTTATTGTAAGTAATCTAGAGGTGGTAAGGTATAAGGGAGTGTATGCATAAGTTACTTACATATACTATCCCATTTTATATAAGGAGCTTGAGCATCCATGGATTTTGGTATCCTCAGTGAGGTCTGGACCCAATCACCAGGTACCAAGGGATAGTTATACTCTGCAATACTGTCTTTGTGGACCTTTGTGTTCTCCGTCCCAGCTTACATGGTAGTAACATGAGTATCCTTTAGTGTCTCATTAGGTTATTTCAGTGACCATAATATCCTGTGTTATTTTGTGTGATCAGAACAATTTCCTGTTTCATTCCTGGAAGAAGCCTAACTTTGTGTCTGTTCCTGCATACATGTGCAGTGTTTCTGGGAGCAGCTTTTGTGGCAAGCAGGGAGTGCCTTGCTCCTGATTAGCGAACAGTGGCTACATAGATTGACCATTAAGACTATATGGTAAACAGCAGCCCCGGCTGGTCACAGCACCAAGAGAGGCTTTTATGGTTGTTGTGGTGGTTAAGGGAATTATCTGTTGCTATCAAATAGATTGTTATCTGACAGAATCCAGTTAACACAGTGCAGTAAGAGTGATAATAATAGTATAGTAATAGTAGCTGATACTTATTATGCAATGACTACAATCTAAGTACTCTTGTGAACACTTTACATGAATTGACTTGTTCTCCACAACGGGAGTATGGCGGCTTGCCTACAGGTTATAGTTGGGTAATTATTTTTAGCCTTACTTCAAAGAAAAGGAAACCAAATCACTAAGGGATTGAATAACCTTGTGGTGCACCTGTGCCAGTGCTTAACCTACATCAATTAATTATCTCTTAATTTTTACAACAGCCATTGAGGTAGGTAGTATTACCCTCATTTTTAAATGGTAGAAACAAGCTCTGACAGGGTAAATAGTTTGCCCAAAGACTCATAGCTTGTGGGGCTGGGGCCCCGCCTCTGGTTTTCTGATTGGAAACTCCAATTTGTTCCTTCTACATCAGTCTCAGAATTACCTGGGGATGTGTGTGATAAAAATGCAGATTCCTGGGTCCTGCCTCCAATTTACAGTTTTGAAAAATTTCCCAAGTATCTCCAATATCCAATTCCTTCATCTCGTTTCTTAGTTTATAACTGGGACATTTGCTTGTGGATGAGTCATTACCTCATTAGTTTTGTTTTTTTTTTGAGACAGAGTCTTACTCTGTCACCCCCGGTACAGTGCCATGGCGTCACAGCTCACAGCAACCTCAAACTCTTGGGTTTAAGTGATTCTCTTTTTTTTTTT